TGGTAAAAAGAGTGGAATTGGATCCTGAAGATTATGACACCAGAGAGGACCAATACTGTTTGAAGAGAAAAAATGGTTATTTATTTTATCAAAGATACAAATGGGTGCTCAGTTGTTATTGTAAGGAAAGTTGATGGAAAAACCAGATTGAAAGCTGTTTTCGTGAATTCGAACATAGAAAGAAACAAGGAATTCTTCCAGAGACTTATACAGTGTATATATATTGTCGCATTCCCTTTATTGCTGACACGAAAAACAACATTTGGAGAATAGATTTCTGAATTCTGAATAAAATTTCCTTGTTATCATCTGTCTTTTGTTATTGTTTTCAGAAAATCCAGTTTGAACTGGTTAGGCTAGACTGTCTGGACTGTGAAGCGTGACGTCATAATCAAATTCTTTTGACTCGCTGCCAAAATCGTAGTAGCAGCGTACAGTGTATAATGTAAACACAGTGTAAACACCCCGTATAGGACATATAGGGGCTATGTATTAACCCACCTAGCCCCCTAGGGTTAGGGTTAGGGTTGTACTGAGTTGACCCAGCTATCCCCCACAGACCCCCTAATCTGCACTCTCTTCACCCACCTATCCCCCCAGGGGCTGCACTCCCTTGACCCGCCTATCCCTCACAGGGGCTGCACTCCCTTGACCCGCCTATCCCCCTCAGCCCCAAAAGTGCACTCACTTGAACCGCCTATCCACCCCAACCCCAAAAGTGCACTCAGTTGACCCGCCCATCCAGACCGTTTATACTACTCCCGTTTTGCGCATGGTGCCATTCTGCATGGGATTCTCTCTCTCTCCTTTAATCTTTAAGTGTCCGAGTGCTTTATATATTTTATAAATTGAATTAGATTATTTTATATAAAAAGAATAACTTGTATGGATTTAAACAAATATTATTTCCCTTCTGATTATGTTACATGTATAAACTATTCCTAGATTCTGTATAGACCCCCCCCCCTTTTTTTTACGAAATAAGTAGATCTGCTCTAAAATAGTATAAAAATAATAATATACGAAATTCCTTAGGAATAGTTACATACTAGTCACTTGGAAGAAAAAAAAATTAAATACTTTCTCAAGTTTTAAATTCTCAAAACGATTGAGGTTATTAAAATAACGTAATTTTAAGAATTTCTGAAAAATGAATGAGACGCAGGCGACGTCATTACGTTTTCAGTGAGTAACGTCAAAGTTGTTTTTAGAGCGCCTCACTAAAATGCTCATAAAATACTGAAAAAGTGACATATTTTCAAAATTTATGTATATTTGCGTTGAGAAAGAGTCCGGCTATCAAAATTCACCAAAAAGTCATTTTATGAAAATTTGACCTTAAGGGCCCTTTTCTCGTGACGGCAGTCATATATATATAGCACTAAAAAAAACAACAACACTGTATATCCTAAATGTCGGATCTACCAAGTAGATGAAAGGTCACGGATGGAAATTCATACAAAACACTTAAAATGACCAACAACACGAACAATGAAAATTGTCAAATTTTCGGGACGCCCTGTACCTTCCTCAGGACAAAGAAAAAAGTTAAAAAATCATAAGAACACTTACTGAACAGAAAGATTTTTTTATTAGATCCTGAGCTACATGCTGAGATGGAATCCCATACTTACCCAAATCTTCCTCCACCAGTTCCTCATAAGCTGAAACGATTTGAAGACAAGATATGTCGTAAGACTTATTCTGACAAATTATTTCCTATTCATTTATATTTCATCTGAGCCGTATTCTGATCCTGATCCATTCTAACAACCTCCCCACAAAATATGTAGTAGAACTTTACTTATCAAGTAATTATTCTTTTTTTACTGATATTTCTCTGAGGCAAAATAATCTGTGAAATTTTTCTTGATTTCTCATTATTATTATCATAAATTTCCTCTTAGATTTGTTGTTGGACTAACTTTGATTCCTAACTCTATCTCAACATACCTAATCTGTCTGATACATCTGTTTGGATATTCTACTTGATTTGTAATCGTCAGCCTCCATTATTTATGCAGCAATATACGAGTGGTGATCAAAAACAATTGTGAGCTATTTAAATAGTAAAAAAGAATAGATAAAGGGTTTAATTGTTGAAATCTAAAAATAAAAGTCTTTCACGATCTTAACGCGCATCTGCAATCGTTCTGCCCATGCGCGGATCATATGATATAGGCGGTCACGAAACATACTGCGTAGCATTCTATTACAGAAGCTTAAAGATTTTACAAGTATTATGTTTTACAATGCAAGCTATTTTTTTTTAAACTTATAACAAAAGCAGTCTATTTTGTCAAAATTGGCAAAATCTTTGCAACAGCATTAGTAGTTTATGATATCCTCTTCCAGAATGAACATGGTGACCATCGAAACTAAAGTCCTCTGTTTTAGGAACGCAGTGTGTTAAAGGTGGACAAAAGTATAACTCTCTTTTTACAATATCTGATATTTTTTTGAAGTTTTAAGGAAACGATAGTCTAGGGATTTAATAATTGTATTTGTAAAGATATTCACGTATTTCACTAACTGTGAGTCGGCAATTCATTCTTATCAAATTGCTTAACAGGTTAATTGCTTACACTCCCTTCCTTTACTAAAACAATAAATCGAATCAATGACAAAATTTCTATTAAGTCCTTTGTCTTCATAAGCTGTCTACAAAATACAACATATGCTACTAAAATTTTCTAGTATATATTTAACTTAAAAGCCTTTCATTGCTCAAATACGACTAAATCATCCATTATTTGTCACAATAAGTATATGGAGATAACGAACAGTATTCAAAGTCCATAAACAATACAACCCAGCTAACACAAAAACATTTTAAAAATGTTTTTAAAACATTTTCAAAATGTTGCGAAAATATTTAAAAAACAAGAGATGTTTGTAAAACACTTATGCCCCCCTCCCTCAAACTGGAATTTTTTTGTAAGTGCAAGGGGCATGATTCTGTCAAAAATGGCACGATTGTACCCAAAACAGAACTTGACCTAGATAATCATCTGCTTAATCTGTATATTAAATTTCATCTCAGTATGTGCAACGGTTGCAAAGAAAATGAACGGAGACTAAATAATTGAATTTTTTTCAAACTCCAAGGGTCATAATTCTGTCAAAAATGATGCGATCGTACCCAGAACAGAACTTGACCTAGATATTCATGTGATATATCTGTATACCAAATTTGATTTCAGTATGTGCAACGGTTGCAAAGAAAATAAGCGGAAACTGCAAATAATTGAAATTTTTCCAATTCTAAGGGGCATAACTCTGTCAAAAATGGTGCAATCATACCCAGAACAGAACTTGACCTAGATATTGATGTGATATATCTGTATACCAAATTTGATTTCAGAATGTGCAAAGCAAAGCAAAGCAATATGCCCTGCCTTCTTCGAAGGGGGGCATAAATATTTTAATCACATTATTTTGTATGCTTTTTTTTAAACGTTTTTAAAACATTTTAGTGAAATATTTCAGCAAAATATTGACAAAACATTTTCTTAAAATGTTGCGAAAACATTTTCAATAATGTTTTAATCACGTGAATTTGTATGGTTTTTTAGACGTTTTTAAAACATTTTAGTGAAATATTTCAGCTAAGTTTCCGGAACATTTTCTTAAAATGTTGCAAAAACATTTTTCAACAATGTTTTAATCACGTGATTTTGTATGGTTTTTTTAAAAATGTTTTTAAAACATTTTACAAAATATTTCAACAAATTTAATCATAACATTATTTTTAAATGTAACAAATACATTTTCAAAAATGTTTTATTCACGTTTAATTTGTTTGGTTTTTAAAACATTAAAAAAACATTCAAATCGAGGTTACAAAAGTATTTTTCCTGAATTTTTACTTTTTCTCATTTAATAATGATATTTTTATATTTTGAAAGAAATAAACACAAACTATATTTAATTTTTGAACCTTTAATACAAACCCATATTCAGTATGTTAATCACATTTAAATTCCATTCTCGGTACAAGTTTGAATTTATTTTCTTTCAAGCCACCGGGTTTTTTAAGGTTGAAAACGGCGTCTAATCCATTTACTGAATTTTAAAAGAAATCCTATGTTCACTGTATAGGTAGAACAGAGCAGCGGATCTATGACTTAGTTAGAATCACATACACTGAAAATGCTAAGTAATCTGCCCCTCGGAAAGAATAGCACAATCTGTAAAGATAAGGAAAATTGTGGTTCTATCAGCGTTCTACATCTAATGTATCTTAAGATAATCACTGAAAATATATACAAAAAATATTTTAAATAATTATATCAAATTTAAGTTCTTTAATTATTTACATTGAAAAAAAGCAGAAAAATAATTACTATGACAATATTATTGAAGAGTAATAGTATTTACGTACACCTTTGCCTTCACGAAAGGCGGGTCTTTTGAATGTGGGAATTTGAAAATACGGATGATGCAACCAACACCATGCTGTAAAGAAATTTCATTTTTAAATCAACATATTGTTTGATGATTAACATTTCACAAAGACAACGAATACTTGAATCAAGGATATAATTGTGTTGCCTTAAGAATAAAATATTTAAATATAATTCATGTATATAACCTTAACGCTTTGTAATTGCTACATACATTTGTACAAAGTTATTGATTATGCACTGGTAGTATAAAAGTCATTTTAAATGATCTTTTAAAGTCTATGATAAAGGAATAATTCTTACCATTCAAAGATAATAAATCCCGAGGTTATTATTGTGGTTTATATGGTGCAAAGTTTTCTTATTCAAATCGGCACGGAGTAAGCGCGCACATCTTGTTTACCAGAATTCAAAATTTGGCCTAGATAAGCAGCAAACCACTATACTCTGTAATACGCTGTGTAGCACGAGAATTGCATATTATCATGACACTGAAACTGACAAGTGTGCCAATCCCTATCTAATGACTCAGAGTAAAATTCAGGGAGTGGATCACAGATTTGATGAAGAACATTTTTTTTAAAGACAAGAGTTTTATTTAATGCTTATGATTTTATACATTTATTTATATTTTAAATTTTTTTGTTTGCCTATCCTTTCATTTATTGATTTTTTGATTTGTTTAATCGAAGGACTTGATATTGATATAAATTATGTCTGTTTAATCAATGAGCCCAAACTAGGAATCATTATAAAAATCCGGAAAAAATCTTTCAATTAAAAAATTACTACAATTCCTCATTTTAACACAATTCTTTCTATATATTCTTTTTTTTCTTCATAATCTAAATTTTAGGAAAATCGCATTCATACATTATTTGAATGTTTTAAGATCATTTTGAAAATAATAGCAGCAATGAAAAATAAAGTCTTAAAAAAAAAACACATTAAATTGAATGTTCTGAAATCATTCTCACAACATACTCTCAAGTTACTAAATGAATTAACTTATGCCGCAATTACATAAATGTTTCCAAAAATTTTTACAAAAACTATAATTAAAATGTTTCAATTGTAGTGAAAATAATTATTTTACTTAATGTTTTAAATAAATATTTTCACTGCCTAGGCCGAAACATATCCGGAATTGAATGTTTTTAACTAACAGCGATATTCAGAATGTTTTTAAAATATTTTAAAAATATTCCTTACAAATGTTTCAGAAACGTATATGGAATGTTTCTGATTTACAGAAAAAGAATGTTTCATTTCATGTTTTAAGAATGTCTTTAAAACGTTTTATAAGATCTTTAATATTTGGAAGCTATAAATACCCTTAAATGAATTAAGAATGTTTCAAAAACATTTTGACAACGTTTCTTCCAAATGTTTCAGAAACGCATTGATGCAATGTTTCAGATTTATGGAAAAGTAATGTTTCATTTCATGTTTTTAGAACGTTCTTAAAACGTAATATAAAAATCTTTGATATTTGAAAGCTAAACGTACCTTTTGAAACATTTTTAAAACGTTTCAAAAATATTTTAGAAAAATGTTCCAAAAGGATTTAATCATAAGCTTCTTGAAAACATTTTTAAAATCTTTTTAAAATGTTATAATGAGAAGAGGAAATGTTTTAGAAACATTTTAAAAATGTTTAGTCTGAAATGTTGCGAAAAAACCTTTTTACAACACCAATAAAATGTTTTGAAAATGTTGGGTGCTACCTGGGAAAGTAGGAGCAGAGCAAACACGGACCTCCGAATCGTCAGAGGTAGGATCAGGTGCCATAGAGGCATGAGCATCCCCTGCAGACCGGTTACAGCCGCTGTGTGCTCCTTGTCATGATCAGGAAATAACGGAAACATCCGTCGTTAATAATATTTAATTCAGTGTACAAACAATGCACTAACCACAAGCATGAAAAACGTCAGTCAGCATTTGACTCAATGATAAATTGTATTTTCTGACAATGTCATTGTTTCGACCATAATCTACATACTCATGCCATTCTCACATTCTGGTGTCACAAACATGGGAAAACATTTGGTTATATATGCCATTTATATAATATGTGTATGACTATTTGTGTGCCAAATATCATTTGGATCCGAATTTTGGTTTTCTTAATATTAATACTACTGTATAGATAGTTTGTGAACCTTTTTAATCATCCCTCGAACCTTCATCACCTGCATATGGAGTTTATATATCTCAGTTGTTTCGATACGCAAGAGCAAACTCTAAGCACGTACAAATTCTTCATACGTAGAGCATGTTCATACGTATCGAATCAACTGAGATATATATACTCCGTATGTAGGTGATGAAGGTTTGTTGCCCCATTAGTAAGGGAAGTTAACGATAGAAAAGTTAAAGTTAAAATATAGTTTGGTTGTTAGATCACCATTAACATCTTTTTCAAATAAAATATTCAAGTATGAAACAGATGCGTCAGACTCTGTGATATCTTTTTTTCTCAAGTTCTCTTGGATATATCGTATCGACGTAGGAATGGAAATGACCATAGTTAATTGACAGAACGTCGTCGATATATTTAAATGATATCTCGATCATGACATGAAGCAAACAGCGAGAGTGACACATTCACTCCAGCATGGCACCTGTTACACGCTCTGATGTTTTGGAGGTCGGTGTTTGCTCTGCAGCTACTTTTGTATTGCTTTTGACCGTGTCAGAGGTTTTATTCCCACTTTAATGATTTGTGTGACAGGATGTGTTAGAGTGTTTGTGTATAAAATCTTTAAAAAGTGGACCCGTAAAACATCCGGCGATGATTTTTTATTTAAATAATAACACGGAAACAATTGCTTCAAAATCCCAAAACAATTATCAGTTCTTATGCGGCTCCGCGATAAACAGAATTGGGATGTATGCTACGGTACGATCTATGTTAAAGCTGATGTGTTGAGAAAAATCTTCCTCAACATAAAAAATCCTTTTAATTTACAACATTTAAATTTTGTTATCTTTTCAAGTTGTCCAATAAGACTAAGAAGAATCTTATATTATATCTTTTATTGATGCTTTCAATTTTTCCATGTTTAACATATTTCTCGAGAATTCGTCGATTTCTACAGTGTATGGAGACTTTAATTTTTGCTTTTCTCAGAGGTATAAATCAAGATAACACAAGCCTAAATAGGGATTTCTGTCTAGTTTACTAAAATTAATAGAGACTTCCCTAACTAAAACTATACTCTCGAATTCACTGATTCATACATATTTATTTCTTATATCTTATTTTTAATTTTTCTCTTGCATACTCTTCATTGTGTTTATAAACCTCCTCTAATCCACCGTCAAATCTTTAGATGATTTTCTATATTATATGCTAAACACTGTTTTAAAAATGGTATTAATCAGGCAAGGAAGTATCAGCGATTCATAATGTATGTCTTCTTTGACTTAATGATAAAGAAGCTTTTATAACGTTGGAAATTTTGCAACATTCCTGTACTAGGAGAATATATATATCATATCGAATTTAAGTTTTTTGGTCCCGTGTTTGCTGTGCTGCAGATATGTTTTGTTTTTATAAATTAATGGAATTTTTAGCTTAAATTATCTTCCTCATTTCCTTATACCTCATTGACAAGACCTGTTGATCAGAAATATATAGACTTTTCAAATGGAGAAATTTGCTTTACTTCTGAAATAAATTCATATTATATCAGAAACATCAAATTTTAAAACTGAGCGTTGAGGTTTTTTTTGACAACTTTTTTTCAACTTACTAACTCAAGTTTTAAATTCATTTCAAATATTTTTAGGAACAAAGACACTAAAAGAAAATCCAAAGTTTTGTACAAACCTTCAGGTGACTGGTAAGTATATGTCTATAACATGTAACGAAATTTAGAATACGTTCTGTAATATTCCAAACCTATCAACAAACAACAAACAAACAGGGTTTTTGACACGGTATTGAGAACATGTGGCTGATAAAATATCGAATAAGACTAAGAGCTTTTAAAAATCGAAGTACTGAAAGCACTCATGGGAGTTGAACATGGTGTTAAATAAAATCTTTGATCGGGAGGTTAAGTGAGTAAACAGTATTATTATTTCAAATACAGACAACTGTTTCAGATTTTTTGAGTTGCAAAAATCTTGAGAAAGACATTCAGAGACATTGAATAGCAAAAAAATGCAGGGGCCATAATGCTTGCCTGCCTACATTAGTCCTTTTTTATACCCCCTGCTTGTAAAGCGGGAGGGTATTTATAAATCGGGATTTCCGTCTATCTGTTTGTTACGCTTTAGGTATACCCATCTCTTATCCGCAACTATTCTTACACCACTAAACGAAATTTTCATAGAATCTTTATTATTGTAATATATTTTTCCTTGGCACCTTTACCCATGTGTCATGAAAATTTCAGTTTTCAGGAATAATATCAATGTTGATAAAAAGTGGATTTAACACAGCAACCTTTTAAGAGCTAACAGGTTTGTTATATAAAACTTCTCTGTGAATATAAATGTATTTTAATTGCACGAAAATTATACATGGAGTACGTCAGAACTTAATCTTTTTTAATATTGTGAAGAAAAAAAGCAATACCACCTTTAAAACAGATATTTAATGACCAAACATAAAAAGAGTGGTATATGTGAGAGTTTGTGTGCGTACGAATTATCTGGTATGTATATGAGGTTTTCCTTTTATTAAAAAAAATATACTTCATTTTGTAGTTTTTACGAAATGATTTTACGAAAACATAAGAGTCCGTCTTGTGAGTTTAATATTTATAACAGAGTACTAGATTTACCGCTTTTGGCAGGTGATACTGCTGATTTAGTAATAAATACGCATGTTTCCTAAAGTTTTTATGTATTAATGAATTCATTTCAACCAAGAAAATGTTCATGAAAAGTTTGAATAAATTCTGTGCACCGGTAAAAAAGAAATCCTGGACCGTCGGGCGTTGGGACGACTAGATTTACCGCTTGCCGTTAGTATGTAGAGTTGTCGATCGTATCTTTTTCAGTGTATGACGCCACACAAAAAAAAATGAGTTCCATTACAAAAACTTTTGAGGTTCTTTATAATTTAGTTTTACTTTGAACGAAATCTTATATTCAAAATAAGATTACTTTATCATTATTACATTAACTTACATTTCAAATTATGAAAATGAGATCAATTCATGAAAAAATGACATGAACTATTTGTGGCGGATTTTTATGCATGTTTTCTGTTGAATATCATCGGAGTAAATCAGCCGACACAGTAGCCTCGCTTTCGGCTCTATATAATCAACACAAATTACTGCGCATGTTAAATACGTGATGACCATGGGAGATTGAACATAGTTCAACTCCCCAAAAATTGTCATTTGCATTGAATTGTAACGTGTCGGACCTGAGCGGTCAGTAGGTCCGTGCTCGGATTACCGAGTTTTACTGGGGGTATGATTAATGCAATATATACAGATAATATGACACTTGCCTAGTATCTTTAAATCAAGTGACCTAACTGCCTTTTTGTAATATATATATATATATATATATATATATATATATATATATATATATATATATATATATATATACAATGATACTGGCACCTGCCTGGTGCCTTGTGACAATTGCCAAAATGATCAACTAATCATACAGGTCAACAGACACCTTCCTGGCGTCTTCTGCTAACCAGTAGCTAACTACTCTAGACAGCCAAGTGGCTCCAATATATAAAAACAATACAACTTTGCTATTCCTGCCACAGGGTACACTTTTCTTCTACCCTCTAACACTTTGAAATAACCCTAGTCAGCGACTAATACCATTCGCCCACACCAAATGGCAAGTAACCCAAGACAAGTAACACACGGCAAATAGCTCCTTCCAAGTTGTATATACCAAGTTGCAGACGCCAAGTGGTAATATACCAGAATGCAGACACAGGCCAGTTGGTCGCACTACATTTTGTACTCCAACTTAATCAATGTTAATAAGTTTTCAGATACTGTATTAACAAAATACAACAAACTCTTTTGGCATCATAACTACTATTTTCTAAGACAACATCATTTATCAATATTTCTTGTAATTTCCTTGTGTCAATTGACCAATTAATTACAATATTTACATTAATTATCTACTATTATACAAACAACTAACGGGAGGTAACTCCTCCAACCGTTTCAGAATCATTATAAAATAAAAGTGTAAAAGTGTAATGCAATATGATTCTATATGAAGGGAGACATGCACCAGAGAAGGTATAAAGATACCAATATAAACAAATTAAGGATCGCCCACGTGACGCAGTATAGAGCGTCTGCCCTAGAGTTGATCCGAACATCGCGGGATCGAATCCCATTGTGGTGCGTTGAGACCGTATAAACCGAGGTCCCGTGTCGCAGTAGGTGCTAACACGAAAAAGATCACTCACAGCTAAATGGCCCTGAATGCCGAGTAGAGGACACAAAGTTTACCTCTCCACAGGCAATCGGTGGCGTCTTAGTATAAGTGAAAGTTTCTCTAGAGAGACGTTAAATAAAATGCAATCAAACAATCATAAATTGTTAAACTGAACCTGTCTCTCTGTTTTGTAGGGGGAACTCTTTTAAAAAATGGCAATGTTGCACTTGCAAGTTATGATAATGGAGAGGTTTCAATTTTTCGACTTACGGGTCAGAAAATAGTGGATTTTAAAATTCAAAATCCGTGGGATGTTGCAGCAAGATTGGATTGTATAGCTGGAGAAGTACTGTTCGTTTCTGTACTGAAATCAGGTATTAGGATTCTCTGAACTCTTCAATATTTTATGCCTACAATTTTGCTAAAGAGCAAGTTGAATAATTTTTTTTCCAAAACTCTAGATGAAAAACTAGAATAGAGACTATACAGGATAATGTCATATTTAATGATATACTTGAATTTTTTATCTTGTATAGAAAAAATGTCAGCAAGAATAGAAAAAATTAATCTAAGCGGATGGAACCAAATAACAACATTTACAAAGAACGTTGTTTCTCCATATGGGATCGCTTTCACAATTAATAATGAACTATGCGTCTGTGAAAAGAAAAGAAGCACGCTGATTATTTTTGGTGAAGATGGTGGAATTATTCGAGAAATAACTAACGTAAATTTCATCTGTCCCTGGTACGTAGCAGTGAAATCACATGACGAATTACTTCTCTCCGACTTCATCGCTTGTTGCGTCTGGCATTTAAATTCATCTGGGGAGATAATTGAAAAGTTTGATAAATCGTCAGAATCAGATCCAACTCAGTTTCATCCTGCTAAATGCGTTTACAGCGATGGAAAGATTTTCATCAGCGACCAAGATGGAGGAAAGATTCGTGTTCTGTCTCAGACAGGACAAGTTCGCACAGTAATTGCAAGATTAAATTCCGATGAGGATTCTTTCTGTCCTGTAATTTTACTAGCAGACGACGATGGCCATCTAATTATTGTATCGAAAAATGGAGAAGTTTTTATCATGCTAGTTCCAACAGAAGACATGAAAATAAAAATATTTTGATACAAAAAAAAACCTTAACGCTGATAAAGTTTTTGATATTAATTCATTTGTACAGTTTTATATATCTGATTGGATGTTTACATTATTTACAATTTACGACTTATATTAATTTAATGAATATTAAAAAAAATATTTAAATTATTACGGGAACAAGATTTTAATATGTGTTTTCAAACATACGGATGTCCATAATTCAAAATACATGTAAGAATAAGGCAAATAAATGTCTCCTATCCATTTTACATTGTATACATTTATTGCAAAAAAAATATGTATAATCAGAAAAAAAATATATGAGTTTTCGTTCTAAAAACTGGCAACAAATTATAATATAAGAATGATATCCAAATTAATCTAAATTATTTACTACATTAATTTTTATTAATGATTAGAGTATGGAAAGACTAATACAAGTTGACAGTTGGCATGCATATGGGATCGGTGACCCCATGTCAGGAATACACATTGCATTGCCATCTAATACTGTACATGTGTGGCGGTTGAATCTGTGATGTAGTTCTTAAATACTCCATGCGATGCAATTACAAATAGAAAAGGAAAATAGAGAATATTTTATAAAATTATTAAGCATAACTTTGAACTGATTAATTCAAACTTAAGAATCCCATACCTTTTTCCCTTTTTTTTTAAAATTTTTTTTTTTAAATTAAATTATACATAAATATTTTTTTGTTTCTTTGCCTGCGATGCTGTGGTGTATTATAACGAATTTGTTATTTTGTTGTTGTTTGTTTTGGAAAGTTTAGATTTTTTTCTTTTCTTTTTCTTTCAATAAAAATTGAGCTCATCAATTCCCTTACAGTGCAATTATTTATTTTTTTTAATTTTATTGTGCGAAAAAAATCATATGATTGTAAACAAAAGTACTCTAAAATCAATGCATGTAATGTGTACATTTCTAATTGATAATATTTCCGAGCTTATACGTATGTGTGTTCAACTATTAGAAAACCTTATCAGCAGATATTATTAAAAAAGGAAGATTCTCAAGTTGTCGATTTATTTGAACATTGTCTATAGTGTGGTTAGAGCGCTTGGATCGGATTTAAAGAGTAAGATGTTAATCCCACCTCTGATGATTTTGAGGTCCCTGTTTGCTCTGCTCTTATTTTGTATTGTTTTATGAACTTGAGATTGAATACTGTTCGTTATCGCCATATTCATCCTTATATATACCTTTAGGTTTGAATCCCGTTGCGGACTCTGGAGACTGTTCCATTTGACGGGACCATTTTAATTGAGGTCCCATGTTGAAACAGGTGATTGTACGAAAAAAAAGGCGATCTTCCCAATGAGTCTGAGTGCCGAGTAAAAGTCTGAATTTGCATGCCAAACGGGTTGTTGCCTCTTAATTAATATACTTGAAAATTCACAAAATGCACGTAAAAAAAACAAAAAAAAAAATCAAATATTAGATATATCAACAATGGCTTTGGCAATAAAAGATATCTATTTATTTTTAGTGTGTAGATTCAAGTTTAATAACCAAATAAGTCTGTGCTTGTTTAAAAAAAGAGACGCTTTCCGCTTTTCTCCAATTATACACTACTTTCTCCAAAAGGAATTATACCTATTCCTCGGTTAATTTACTGCTTTTCCCAGAGTTATTTTGCAGTTTAAACGAAAATGATACGGAGGATAATTCTTGTAAACCACATGAAAAAAAAAGATTAAAATTCATTAACCCTGGATTAACAAGCACTTGTAAACAAATACGCATAACTTTCTGATACCTTTGCGGCCTCCTCATGATTTTTTTTTTTTTTGCATAAAAGATAATCATAACATTTAAAACCTAATATATGCCATGGTGTTTAATTTTGAAAAGAATGTCGGTTCTTTTTACTCATTATAAGATCTAATACTCAATCGATCAGGTATCTACGTATCTGTACAGTTCTCTCAATAAAAAACAAAACAAGGATAAATGAGTGTGCACTCATTTTGATTTTTTTGTAAGTAAAATATTTAATATCTAAAAGAAATTTCTTATTTAAAATCAAAACATTAAGAGTACAGACTCACCTTTTTATTCCATATCTTTGATTTCATCTGATCGGATCCACGCTCTGTGGAGGACGTATATGGAGAAACATTTATTTTAAATGTGCGGGAGATGTAGAAGAACGCAATATTTTATGAAAAAAAGGTAAGTGCATTTATATTAAAGGGAAAAAGGGGTGATTATGCCCGAAGGTTTTGAATCTGGCCAAGAAATATTAAATTGTTTTATTCTGGTTGCATTTTTAACATGGATAAACGCCATGACAGAAGGAAGCAAATGATCACATTGTTTGTACTTTTCTTTTGCTGTAGTCCAGCTTGGTGTGCTTTGTTGAAACTTTCAAATATTCTTAAATTCTATTTTAATTCTTAAAGATTAATCTTTGTTTCTCTTGTTTGTGTCATGTTCAAACAAGTATTTGTATGAAGCTATGAAGGTCCTTTCCCTCTTCCCTAAATACTATTGTACTTTTTAAATTATGATTAAATTAAATATTTTAAAGGCGACTTTTATTTATGTAACCATACAAAAAGTACTAGTATTTTTAACTATAGTAAATAAAAGTTAGTATCACGTATTTTAACTATAAATGTCAAAAATACCTACAAATAATTTCATATTACTGCAATAGTTATTTTGACAGCCCAAATACCCATAAAATTGCTTACTTCTTTCCATAAACTTCTAACTCTAAAACAACTTACCTTTTCCCCCTCAATGAATAAAGTCTAGAAAAAAGTTTGTTGTGTGTTGTCTCTTTAGTGACTTTTAATGATTTGTATGAAATTCTTAGAATTATTTATAACAATAACATATAATTAGCAGACACAAATTACTAGTATCAAGATGGATTGATAACCAATTTTGTTTAAAGGAAGATAATCCAAATTTTCAGTAATTACAACTTAGACTTAACCAAAACATTATGAAAATGGTTCTGAAAAAGCGACAAAGTATGAAATCAAAACCAACATAAAAATGATTAGGGCGGAGGCCATTTTAATACATCGCTATACAATATTTCATATTTATGTAAATAAAACTTCCTTTGTGTATTTTAACTATGAATAACACAGGCACGTTTTTGATATTTAAGAGCAATTTCTTGTATTTTGACATTTTTTTAAACAGTTAAATCTTTTTACATTTAATGATTATAGAATTAATAAGAGTCTAAATCTTCGAAAAAAGTTCAAGAGAAAAATTTCGTAGTAAAATTGTAACATGCGCCGAATACACAAATCTATTTATAGCTCGTTGTGAAACACTTACAACAAAACACCAGTCAAAATGAATAATAACCTTAACAAATTTTAATGATAAACACAAATAATTACAAATAGTAAACAAACACAATTACAAACAAATTACAAAATGCCGACAGAATTTACTCCACTGATCATCTATAAGTCTACCAACATGATCATGAATCAGTCAGCTTTGCGGACATCGTTCGTTTCCCAAGGTGAGATAAAATATGTGCTAAATTCCTATGTGAAAGCTTGGAGTGTAAAATATTGATAATGATGTACCAAATTTACACATGTTCTTTTTTTTTCTACTCGTTGTTTTTCCCTCCTCTACTAATCACAACTCCTTAGATAAAAATCATAGTCCACCACAAATAAAAACAACTCATTAGATAAAAATCATAGTCCACCACAAATAACACAACTCCTTAGATAAAAAGCATAGTCCACCACAATTCATAAGTAACCGGTAGTTTTTTTTTTTTTTGCGTATACAATATATTAAGATAAATTGATGGGTTTTATGTGATTTATCTTTTGTGTACTTCCATTATTCCATATTTTAACTAGTTGTTACTTACAGAAGATAAAAACCTGATGAATAATGTTTATTTTTATAAACAGTCTTTGACAACTCTGAATACTGCCATGACGACAGCCTTGACGGGGAACCCGTCTTCATTAGTCCCTCTGGTTCCGGAGACACGGTGTCCCTCAAGGAAGACGCCCCCGGGGTTTTTAGTGTACACAGTGAGTGCCACGGACACGGAGTATTACGTACTTGATCCAGGTGTTTCCAAGTTTATCCTTAAACAAAATGCCTTCACACAAATAGATGCTTATCACTTGAAAGATAGGATGAAAAAGGACACTGTACGAAATTTTCGCCCTGTTTTTTCACCCTTTTCGTCCTAGCCTCATTTAGGAGAATTTGAAACGGGACAAAGTCATATAGTTCAGTATAGTACTTAGATAAAAATTTGACAGGGTGAATTTAAAACGGGACAAAATTGTCTGCAAGTGTGAACGGGCGAAAAAAAGGGCGAAAATAACTATACAGTATATCAATCCTATTTTTTCTTTAGTAATATATCCGCTGCTTGTTTTATATCTCCTTGATTAGTTTTTTCCCTCATTTTAAAAACCGATCAATTGCCAAAGGCGGCTTCAAATTTATATCTGTTCCAGGTCTTTATATGACTCTAGTCAGTAGTTTTTTTTTATGTTAGCACAGACTTCAATATTATATAGGAAAATAAGACTAGTTCTCATTAGTTGGATCGATCTTTATGTCCAAAAGGTGAATTCGAACCCGTAAATTAAGGATCTTCTTTCTTCTCGACATTACAAACTGTAACGCTTACACATGCTTTTTGACTCTTCACAAAGATAAAAGCTGTTAAGAGAATACAGGTGTTTGGTACAGATCTGCAACGATTTGAAGACTTTGGTAAGATGAAAAGCTATTTCACAAGTCTTGAAAATTGATTTACTTCAAAAATAGATGTGGAAAATCTTAACAGTACTTACACTGGATTATTTCCCTTTCAAATATAGCCGAAAAAGCATAAATAGTTCAAATTTAATAATAAGGATCGGTTTACATAGATAGTTATTATTGCATAAGTTATCATAAGGATTGATTAAAACCATGTCTAAATGAGCAATACACAATAAGGTACTATTCATTATTTTAAATAAGATCTAAAATAGTGAAATGGTTTATTTATAATAGAATCAACAACTCATTGTAAAAGAATACCAAAACAGGAAAGATCAATGTTTATTTTAGTGAGTTTTAAGAGGTTTTTAACAGATGCATAGATATGGGTTCTATTCACAGATTTAAGTATAGCTAAAAACTAAAAAGAGCCAGATTAACGGACCAGTTTGCAAA